CAATGCAAAAGTGAAACCTGTGAACACAGGTGCAAAAATCCTTAACAAAATGCTAGCACACTGAATCCAGGTCATGATCCCTGGGTCCAGGGATCAAGTCCTGCATCCGGCTCCCCCCAGGAAGCCTGCTTCTCCCTCTGCCTGTGTCTCTGCCTCTCACTCTGTCTCTCATGAAAAAATAAATTCAAAAAATTTAAAAAAAGAAAAGAGCTTCTGCAAGAAGGCGGTGCAATCTAATATGTGTATAGAAAGAGTTCTGGCCACGTGTTATCAATAGGGGAAGACCTTGAGGGCCTGAAGAGCAGTCAGGAGGCTGGTGCCCAAGGGGATGGTGAGAAACAGCAGCAGAGCCCGGCCAGGAGGATGCCGAGCGGGAGGCGGGCCTGAGGCTGAGTGCGGGTGGAAGTGACTAGGTTTGGGATTCAGAGACTAATGCGAATGGGGACAGAGGTAGGATGGGAGGAGGAACCTGTGCCATCCTGAGGTTCTGAGCCTGGACAACTCTGAATGGTGACGTTCCTCCTATGATAGAAAAATCCAAGGTGTGTGGGGGTGCTGGGTGGCTCAGTCGGTTCAGGGTCCACCTTCAGCTCAGATCATAATGCTGTGGTCCTGGGATCGAGCCCTGCGTTGGGCTCGCTGCTCAGCGGGGAGTCTGCTTCTCCCTCTGCCTCTGCCCTTGCTTGAGCTCTGTGTGTTTGTGCGTGTGTGTGTGTGGTCTGTCACGATCTCTCAAATGAATAAATAAAAGGAAGGAAGGAAGGAAGGAAGGAAGGAAGGAAGGAAGGAGAAAGAAAGAAAGAGAAAGAAAGAAAAGAAAAAAAAGAAAGAGAAAGAAGAAAGAAAGAAAGAAAGAAAGAAAGAAAGAAAGAAAGAAAGAAAGAAAGAAAGAAAGAAAAAGAAAAAATCCAACAGAGAAATAAGGTGAGGGGAGGGAGGTCAGCCCTGTGGAGTCTGTTTGCCCTCCCTGACCTCTGGGAACCTTTGACTCTTCTTCTGAGAGCGATTCCCCAGGGCACTCACCTGGTGTGGAGCCCCAGGTCCTCCACCATCTGGCCTGCTCCTCCCTCCCAGCTCCTTCCCTGTTCCCCCTCCTGTACCCATCCAAGCTGAGCCTCTGGGCGACCTCAAACCTGGCTGATGTGTTCCCACCACAGGGCCTTGGCGCTCAGCAAGCTTCCCTCCCGTTCTCCTTGCAGAGGCTGGGGCACGCTCCCGCAGGTGCACGCTCCTGCTGGGCCCGACACACCTTCAGGTAGGGTGTGTGCTTTCGCGGCCTCCGCCTGCGGCTCCTGGAAGGGAATCAGCTTTGCTCTCAGGCCCTCACCCACGGCCCTGCCCGGGGCCCACCCCACCGTGGATGCGGGGACAGGCCCTGGAACCGGGCAGCCGGCCGAGGGTCCTCTGGCCTGCCCCCCCCCCACCACCAGAGGCCCTGGCAAAGAGGGAGAGCCGTTCCCCCGAACTCCAACCCGGACCTGCTGCCTCCCTGTCCAGTCCGGGCTGCCCTGGGGGTTCCAGAACATCGTACGGAGAGCCACAGACCTCGTGCCTCCCATCAGCGCCTGACAAAGGAGGCCAACCACGCATGAGTGTTGAGTGAATGAATGAATGAATCAATCAATCAATCAGAGGAATGAATGGCTTGGGTCCCTTACGTAGAAGACCAACAGAATGGGCCTGGGGGCTCCTGGGTCGGAACCACACAGCGGCACGTGGCAGGTGAGCCCTGGCACCTAGCAGGCGGGCATCTCACCTGGGGCACGGATGTCCCAGGCAGCGGGATGTCCCCGCCTCCACCTGCTGTGGACCTCAGCGGTCCCGCATCCAAGGGGCAAACGGAGACCGGACGAGGGGCTCACCTACCCTGGTGATTTCCTTCTGCTTGGGGAATTTTTTTTTTCTTTTTGGTCTGAGGACAGACTCTGCGGTCCCACGCACAGGGGCAGAGAAGGGAGAGGCACGGAGGTGGGTCAGGATGTCTCCTCTCCCTCAGCCCATGAGGCGCTGCAAGAGGGGAGAAGGCAGGTGTGCATGCAGAGGTGGAGCGGGTCTGGGACTCCCCCGGGCCCTGAGGGGCAAGGGTCCGCACCTCCCAGGGTGCTCCCAGCTCTAGAACAAGAGACAGGGAGACAGGGAGCCTTAAAGGCCCCAACACCCCGCATCTGAATCCCACACCTGCCATTTAGCACACGAGTGACCTTGGGCCGGCTGTTGAGGCCCTCCAGGCCTCAGTTTCCTTATCTGCAAGCTGGGCTCTCTTGCACAGCGTGAGGCCCTGGAAAGTGCAGCCCCCACCCAGAGCGGGCGGCCGTCACCGGTGGCTGTGGGTTGAGGGGCCCTTTACGGGTTTACCATCAAGGGAAAGCTTCTCGGGCTAAGGATGGAAGCTGGTTCTGTCCCCAGAGGAGTGACGATCACTAATCCAGCCCTGCTTGGGGCGGCTCTGGCATCCCTGTGGCGGGACGGGGGTACGAGGCAGGGGCTGGGCTGCTCTGGGCACAGGCTGCCTGGGCCCTCCCGCGCCCTCCCGCCAATTCCTGACTCCCACTTAGATCCAATAGACTTGGATTTAACAAGCTGGCTGTTAGACTCTAAATACACACCGTATGGCCAGGAGATGCAACGTTTACTGCGAAGGAGCAACCAGAGGGCCCCCCTCTCCTCCATCCCTGGTGTCTCATGTACGGCTTTGAATAATTAATTTGCCATTTCGATGATACACAATGACCGGCCTATTAAGCCAGGATCCAGCATTTATTAAATGCTAACTTAGTGGCAGGCAAACAAAACCTGAGTCAATAGTTGCCTTGCCGGTTATTAAAAGCTCCTGTCCCTGAGGATCTGTGGCGGAGGCAGGCCATGTGGTCGGCGGCGGAGGCAGTGAGCTGGCCGGCAGGGGGGAGGCGGGAGCATCCAGGAGCATGGGGCGGGGGGGGAGGCCATGCGGAGCCTCACCCTGGGGACCGGGAGGGCACGACTGGGGCAGGTGGAGGTCGGTGCCAGAGCAACCGCCTGAAGTTCCCACCAGCGGTGAACCACCCCTGAATCAGCGAGCTGGGACATCTGCTTTTCGTTTGGGCTTTCTGGAAGCTATTTATTGCCCAGAGATGGGGCTTAGAGGCAGGAAAGGTATGTGGAATGCGGTGGGGATCCCAACATGAGGGGAGAACTGAAGAACACAGTCCCGCGTTGTTGGCTGCCCAGGGTGGATGTTAACAGCATGGGTTTTGAAGGGGAACCATTAGGGTGCTATCGATGGCACGTAAAAGACACGCCAACTCCAACCAGTTTAGACATTAAGGGAGGTCATTGTCACCCAATAGGAAATTCAGGAATTGACAGGTTTCTCAGTTAAGATTAGACTTGGCTACATATAAAATACAAATAGCAAAAAAAAAACAAAAAAAACAAAAAAAAACAGTGGCTTAGACAGGATAGAGGTTTAGATTCCTCTCAAAGGAAAGAAGCCCAGAGGTGAACAGCCAACAGCTGGGATGGCAGCTCCACAGTCAGCAGGGACCCATAATCTCCACAGGGCCATCTTTAGAACGTGGCTTCCATCCCCGAGTTAGCCTCATGGTCCCATAATGGCGGTCACTGCTCTAACCATCACGTCCATATTCCAGGGAGCAGGAAGGTAAAGAGGGGCAGAGCAAAGGGCCACTCAACACTTTCCTTGGCTACCTGCATTGACACGGGAGTCTGGAAAACGTGGTTTTATCTCTTGTACGCGGCTACATCCATCAACATTCTTGACTCACCCCACCATCAAGGACCCGGGTTCTATCCTGACGCTGCCATCTTGGCCTTGTCCTCAGCTGGGTAGAAATGGCTACGCAGCAGTTCCAAATGTCTTGTGCAGATGTGAGAATGTGGTGAGGCCAGGGGGCTGGGGGTGGGGAGAGCGTGTGGAGGCTGGGCTCAAACACCAGCGAGGGCATACCCTAGCTCTGAACCTTGGGCCATGGGCCGAATACCTCCAAGCTTAGCTGCTTCTCGTCTGCCAAACGGTGGTAACAACGGCTGCCTTGTGGGGTGTAGTGAGGCTCGAATGAGAGCATCTATGCAAAGTGTGTGCGCGTCTAATTTTACAGGCCCGCGTATGTCCCCTGCTTCACGCTTGTGAGACGCAGGTACTGCCACAGGCCTTAATTTCTCAAATACATTGAATCCTGCTCAAGCTCCCATTCACCAGATTGGAAGGAATCCCTGGCTTCACACTCTTGAGGCTTCCCCTCCCCAGGGTTATAAGGTCCAGAAAGGACAGTCACCAAACCGTTCCTTCCAAGCAGGCAGGAGGAGCCCTGGATTCCCAGTCTCCTGTTTCCACTGCTGCTGTACTCCTTACTGCCTCAGATGATTAAAAAGAAGACCACTTCTAACAGTGCTTGGGCTTGCCCTCCACGCCAGGCACTCCAAGTGCTCTACGTAAATGAACTTCAGCGCCACAGAGCTGCTCTGGGTCCATGGCACCCCACATGCTGTGTGGGGACACTGCTCCATGCTGCCCTGGAGTCCACTCACCAGTTCCCTGCTTACATCAACAGAACCTTTGAAAAAGGTGTGTCTCTAGCTGGCTCACTCCCTCAGAGCCCAGCAAAGCCCTGGAGCCCCCCCACCCCTCCCCGTCTGGTGCCATGACCTTGGTTCTTCATGCAGTTTTCCCAGCACCCCATAATCATTCCCCTCCACAGCCCTGCACCCATAACCTCAGAGGTGCTGTTCTGGAGTATACCCAACCATCCACTGTCCTGCTTCTCAATCTGGGAAATCCACTGCCCTCCTCCTGCCATTTTCTTCTTTCCCCACCATCACCCCAAACATGGACCACTCCTGCTCCATCATTCCAGACTAGAACCTGACAGCTCCCTAATATCCCTCCCACCTCATCCCCCAACCCCATCACCCTTATAGCTCTGATTGACTTAGACAGCCCAAGCCAATCAGCATTCTCTAGCCAAAGAGACTCTGTTCAGAATGAACATATATTTCGAGTCAATGAGGATTGAGGGGAAATTCTTCAGGGAACTTCTAGGGGGAAAAAAACTGTCTTCCTCTAGGTAAGGTAGAGGTAAAACCTGGAACTGCTGCCTCCATTTTGCCACCATGGGAAGCCAAACTGATGTACGCAGAGCAGAACACAACACTTGAGAGATGACCAGGTGTTTGATGCCGTTGGTAAGGCTTCAGCTGGAACCAACTCAGAAGATCTTCTAATTACGTGTGCCTTAAATCAATCTTTTTATTGCCTAAGCCATCCAAAGGGGTTTCTCATAGTTAGAACATAAAAAGATCCAAGTGACCAAGGAGTCACATAGAAATGGTCCAGCTCTTAGAAAGGCCTTACCCCTCCCTGAAGTCAGGGGAAGAGAATGAGAAATACCTATCCAACCTCAGGACCTAATTAGGCTTTTCAAGGAATTCAGCCTAAATCTAAAAGCCCAGATCCTTCTATGAAAATTCATCTGTCCATCCATCCACTCAGTCACTCATGCACTGAGAATTCCAAATCCAGCTCCCTTAGGTCCCTCCATAGCTCAGCATCAGTATCGAGGCTCCATCCTCATGCAAACAGAGCCACTCTGCAAGCCTTGAGCCAACTCAGGTGATACCTCTGAGTATCACTCAGCGTTCTCCAGAGAAATAGAAGCAGTAGGATCTAGATGGACATACAGAGAGGAGATGACAGGAATTACAGGAATTATGGGTCAAGAAGTCCCAAAATCTGCCACCTGCAAGCTAGAGAACCAGGAAAGCCAGTGGTGTAATCAGTCCAGGTCCAAAGGCCTGAGCATCAGGGGGCCAATGGTTTAAGTCCTAGTTGGAGTCCAAAGGTCCAAGAACCAGGAGCACCAATGTCCAGGAGCAGGAGAAAACAGATGTCCCAGTTCAAGTAAAAGAAAGTTCGCCCACCCGTGTTGGTGAGAGGGATCTTCTTTCCTTGGTCCGCAGTTTCAAATGCTAGTCTCTTCTAGAGACACCCTCACAGACACACCCAAAAGGTTTCACCAGCTGTCGGGGCACCCCTGAGCCCATTCAAATTGCTGCGGAAAATTAATGATCACACCCTGGCTCCTGGCTCTTAATGTCGTACAAGCCCCTCCCCACTTCCTTCCCATCTCTGCTGCTACCAGCCAAGCTCAGACCCTTGGCATCTTCATTCCTGGCCCACCAGGGCAGCTTCTTAATGGACACCTGTTAAGAAGTCTTTTGACAATCTGGTGCCATGAAGCATGAATCATTCGCTCTAAAGCACTCCCTTGGTCATTCCAGTCTGCTCAAAAATGCATGCTGAGTATAATGAATTTAAGCACGTCAGGAATATATAAAAACAGTTTTAAAAGAAAAAGAGGAAAGTTCTTTCTCTTCAAATTCCCTTTCCCCAAGGCTACCGCTGATAACAGTTAGGTATGTATCCTTCTGGACTCTTTCCTAGGTATATATATTTTTTAAACTTTTTTTCCCCCCAAACAAAGACAGTATATAGCTTTACTAACGTGACTACACTGCAAGAGGGACTTGCCCTAAAATCATATAAAAAAAAAAAAAATCCTTTCGTGGTTCCTTAGGGCCATATTCACTCGAAATAATGGAAATTTAAATTCAATGGCCCTGCTGGGGGAGTGTTCTGAAGCCCACAACTCCCATTTTTGTTGCCGTTGTATTTCTGTTGCTTCATTCTCTGCTGGTTTAATTAGTGCACGGTAGCGTCTGAAGCAATGTCATTTCTATTCCAGTTATGGCCAGAGGCAGTTAACACAAAATTCACAATATTTTTAATTCCAATAGAACTGTTCGGTCTAATGGTCCTATTCCAACAACTTCAGAGGTTAGAACACCCCGCATCTGAAGCTGCCGACAAGGAAAGACGACTTCCAGTGGGGGGCCTTAGAAGGAGGGCTCTTCACAGGGCTCCCATGGCTGGGTAGGAGCTCCTGGCAAGTTCATGGAACCACCCCCCGAAAACATAGACGCCAAGGCTTGGCTTAAAATTGTGTTATTACAGCGCTGGCTTGGGGAGAAGATGTTGCATTAGAATTCCCAATTTGCGGTCGGTAGGGCTGAGACTGCTTTCAGTTCTGCATCCAGGTCCTAGAGCAGCGGGGGCGGGCGGCGGAGCTGGGCCGTGGGTCCTTCTGAGCTGGCTTCCCAACGTGGAGAAGCTGGGAGGGCCCGGTGACCAGGTGACACGCTGGCCCATGTTTCAATGCAGCGCTACCATTTAGGAACCGTGCCAGCTTGAGGGGGACCCTGAAGCTTACGAACCCTGCCTTCCCTGTTTATAGACATATCCCCCCCCTCCCCGAAAAGGGCTTGTTAGGGTAGGGGAGCTGCCCAGCACAGCCAGATGCAGGAGGCAGGACTCGTTCCTGGTCCACCTGTGGTTTTTTAGAGACGATGCTTCTGCCTTCAGATGAGTAGTTTCTGGTCATCAACCCCAACAACACCTATCCCTAGGGGAAAAAAAGTCACAAGGGACAGGTGGGTGGCAGGGGAGAGGATTTTCCAACCCTGAAAAGGATCCCAAGGGGGCTCACAGGGGGCAGGCAGCCAAGGCAGGCCTCCGTGCTGCTGGTGTTGCCAGGAGGCATCGCAAGGACACAAAGATCCCTCCAGCCCCTCCTGGACTGGCTGTCCTCCTGCTTCTCACTTTTTCCTAAAGCTCTCAGGCCCTGGCTGGCCGCCGCTTTCCTGGGAAACACAGATGGTCAGCATAGAAAATGCAGGCTGGATCTGAGCTTGCCTTACAACACTGGCTAAATCATCCTACCCTGGGGCAATGAAATGCTTCCTCCCTCCCTCTCTCTCTCCCCTCCACACACACGGAATATATCCTGCATGCCTTCCATGTGCTTCATGGTCCCTGCCTTCCGGCCACCATAAAACAACAGCTACTGATAGAACAATCACAGATGTCCTATCCCTCTTCTTTGCCCTAATAATAAAGGTCTCAAACTCCCTTCCTAATCTGAGAGGCATCGCTATACACACTTGGGACCTGCTAATCGTGAGAGTCAAAAAGACAAATACTGTTGTCGTTGTGTGGGTGTGTTTGCCACCACAATCAACATTCATTCAGACCCAAGGCGGATGTGTCACCTGTGATGTGTCACTAGGCCCGTGAATGATGAATCATGCTGCTTGGTTTTATTGTTATTGGTTCCCGATAAAAGATGCATAAAACACGTCCTGTTGAGACTGTACAGCATAACTCCACTTAATTAATTGTTAGTTTTCTCATTATCATTTAAAAAGTAGGGGTGTCTGGGTGGCTCAGTAAGTTAAGTGATGGACTCTTGGTTTCGGCTCAGGTCATGGTCTCAGGGTTGTGGGACCGAGCCCCACATCAGGCTTTGCGCTGGGCTTGGAGTCTGCTTGAGATTCTCTCTCTCCCTCTCCCTCTCCCTTTGCCCCTCCCCCTGCTCACTTGCATTCTCTCTCTCTTTCAAAGACTTTTTTTTTTAAGATTTTATTTATTTATTCATGAGACACAGAGAGAGAATGAGAGGCAGAGATACAGGCAGAGGGAGGAGCAGGCTCCATGCAGGGAGCCTGATGTGGGACTCGATCCCAGGTCTCCAGGATCACACCCTGGGCCAAAGGCGGCGCTAAACCGCTGAGCCCCGCTGGGCTGCCCATCTCTCTTCCATAAATAAAAAATCTTAAAAAAAAAAAAAAAAGAGTAACACAAGGTGATAATTTGGCAAAAACCAAACAATACAGAAGTGAGTAGATGGTGATGGTCCAGCCCGGAAGCACTCCCTTTTATAGACCATCTGCCCTGTCCCACGGTAAAAGGGAGATGAGTCAATGTGGAAACTTTGTTCCAAACTGGGCCAATCGGATTCGCCGTGCCTGGACTGTAAAAGTGTGAATGGGCAGTGCCAGGGGCTGACACATCTTGCATGCGTACCTCTGAGAGAAGGTCCTCCTGCTTACCTAGCCAGGTCCCCTTAGCTCCTCTGCTTCCCAGTGCCCAGGTCCCAGTTCTTCCACTGGTGACTCCGCCCAATGTCCTTCCACCAAATCGCGTTTTCGCTTCCTGACTTCACCAGTTTCTGTTGCTGGCCACCCAAGGCCCCTCAACTGATCCAAGCATAGCAGGTACAGGTGTTACAATCACACAGAGACGGGAGGCGTACCAGTGTCCCATTTGGTGTTATTCTCTATCTTGACCCTCCGCACACACCCATCAATACTCACACAGCATGCTTCCTCCCAATATCCAGGACATAGAAAGTAAAAATGTAGACAGTGAAGGGTCCAAGTGCCTCCTCCCCACCACACACACCTCCTCGAGGAGTAACACTGCTGGCAGCTTAGATGTGTCCTCCCAGACCTGTCTCTGCAGCTGGGTGTGTGGTCAGCTGGGTGTGCTGCCTGTAACGCTCACTGAATACCTACCACGTGCCAGGAACCCTATCGGTACTTTTCACCTACTCTGTTTTACCTGCTCCCATAATCTAATTCTCACGGTACCCCCAAGAGGGAAGCATTAACATCCCATTTGGCAGATGAGAAAACCAAGGCGGAGGGACTTCTATTTGCTCCAGCTCCCTCACTGATCCTAAGGGGCACGCAGCACTGTCAGGAGCCCTAACCCTCTTGGTGGGGAAAGATGGCAAGGTCAAGCACCCTGTTGGCTTGGCTTTGCCCCGGGGGAGCAAGGGTACCGTGCCTGGGAGCAGAGAACCATGAGCACATTTTCGTGTCTATTTCTTCTTTGCCAACTCTGGGTGGTTTTAGGATTTCCCTCCTCACCTCAAAAAAGTCACTTAGAAAATAATCCAGGGGCGCCCAGGTGGCTCAGTCGGTTAAGCATCTGCCTTCAGCTCAGGTCACGATCCCGGGGTCCTGGGGTTGAGCCCCGCGTCGTCGGGCTCCCTGCTCAGTGGGGAGTCTGCTTCTCCCTCTCTCTCTGTGCTCCCCCCACTTGTTCTATCGAATAAATAAATGAAATCTTTAAAGAAAAAAAAAAAGAAGAGTCCAGTGAGTGGCAATCATCTCTGACTCTCTTCGGTTAAAGCTCCTATTCATCCTCTGGTTATTTAACGAGCAGAAACAGGCAAGCAAAGGAAAAGATTTCAGAATAATCCCTCTCTTTTCTTTCCCCCAACCCTTTTTTTTAAAAATTTCTTTCCCCAACCCTTCTGATTGTTTATTCGCTCCTCCTTTCTGTCACAGATGCCAGCAGGAGAAACGGAAAGCACCCCTTGATGGGAGAGGAGCTTTTAAACACCCCAGCTCTTTAGGAGGTGTCCCTGGGTTCTTTTCTCTGCCCCCCTTACTGGAGTCTGGGTGGCCGTCGTAACATACGTGTAACATGAACGTGTGACCACGCAGAAAACCAGGGTAGTGACAGAGTCTGCAGATGTGCACAGAACTGAGCCGAGAGGGACCACAGCCGTGGGAAAGCTCTGACGTGGAAGGCAGGTAAAGTGAGCCAGGTGGGCCAGGACCGAGCCGTTCACCTTGTGCTCATCACACAACCCTCTGAAGCTCAACTTTTTCCTTCATCAAATAAGAACAGTTGCCCACGCCCGCCCCGTACCCCTCCCTCGCAGGCTGCCGTAAAAATCCACCAGACTGGCATGGGAGAGTGCTCAGCAAAACTGCGAGGAGCCGTATAAATGTATGACCGTCATTAATCCTCAGCCCTCCTTCTGCTATTCCTTAGGCCCATATTGTCCCTAAAATGCAGCCATTCTTTAAACTCAGGCAGACAAGAAATGGCCTCTGAGGTTTCTTGCTTCCTTTTTTCCTTCAGTTGAAACAAAAAGGAACCAGACGTATTCAAGAGCAAGTGTCAGTGTCTGGTGTGTAACAAGCATGCCCGGCCCCACAGCGGCACCTGCCCTGCGTCCCTGTGGCAATCTCAGAGCTGTCTCCTGGGAGGGACAGTTACAGCGGGCATTGTTGCATGCCAGGCTCAGGTTACCCTGGCCCTGAGACAGCAGTGGTACGGCCCCCGGGACTGTTAGGTCAGCCCACCTCTTTTCCAGCCATTCTCACCCCAGCTGATAAAATATCAACCGCATGGAGCTTTCCAAGCGGGCACCATCTCCCAGCAGATGGGCTCCACCATGCCGCCCAGGAGAGCTCTAAGCGAGCACCTGTTTCTAACATGCCTGGACACAGACAACACGGCAGCACCAAGGAAGAGGTGAGCCCCTGGTAAGAGGCCCCTTGGCTAGCTCACCGGGGTTTTTCTCAGCCCCAGGAGGGGCCATGTGCCGTTGTGGCTAATATAACTTTGCTCTCATGGCTGACCAGAGCTGGAATTCCTCTTCTGTCACTTAGCAGAAGTCTCCTGAGCCATGCGTTACCTGTCACAATGCTCCGGTGGTTTTCCCATCAGTGAAATGGGGAATAACAACTCTGGGCCAGGATGGGGCGGGCCTTGAAGCTGACGTGCCCAGAAAGCTCTCAGCATGCTGCTGCCTTACAGGTCGGAAGTACCCTGGAGATGCTGTGTCCACCGGAATCCCTTGTCCATCTTGATTGCAAGGGAAACCTTGACCTTCTGGAAGCTGAGCTCCCGAGAGAGCGCCTGGACGGGAGTGGCCCTGGGTCACACGAATCTGCCTGTTTCTCCACAAAAGGCAGAGGGGGACAGAGGAGGTGGGAAGGACAGCCAGATGGATGACAGTCTTGCACAGCGATGTGACACCCTCCACCCCCCAGTTTGGGGAGCCCTGCAAATTGTCAGCAAAGTGTCCAAATTTGTTCAGTTGCTCCAAGTGCATTTGGGGCAGGTGGAGTGATTCAGATGCGGACCTTCGCGGCCGGGTGACTGTGTGCCAGAGCCAAGGCGACAAGTAGGGAGGCCAGAAGCAGATGCAGAGGGACAAGCTTGAGGATCAAAGCCCTGGGGACCCTCAGAAATAGAGGGACAGCCCCTGCCCCTCCCAAACCGTGGAATAGGCATCTGGATAAAGATGAACTGAAGTTCGGAGGAGTGGGGCAGGTTCAACAAACACGAGGTTACGCCATTGCCGTCGTCCTCATCATCTCTGGCATCATCCCCCCAGGTGTTAGAGGTCATCTGCCCACGGGACGCAGGAAACTGGCTTTAGGCCGTGCAAGCTGGGACGCAGGAAGCTGGTGCGTTCCTAACCAGGACTGCACTACTGAGGAACTTCTAGCTGGCCCCCCTAGCCCCCATCTCACTGTTGACATGTGCAGCTACCTTTCTGTTCACTAGGAGGCACCAGCCAGCGGCGAGGGTCTGCTGGTTACCCCCCCACACACACACACACACCCCCACCCAGGCCCCTTTCCAGTACCACAGGGATGGCTTTCCCCGGGTCCTCGAGTCCCTGGCCCACCCACCGAGGCCGCTCATTGCTCTGCTGACACTCCCGGCCGCACTGCAGTGAGCCCCCGGTTATGAATTACTTACCTGCTGGCCATCATTTCAGTGTAAATGGATTTTAAAAAGCAGCGAAGGAATATATTTTCATTTGGAGTTAAAGCATCCATTTTTTATTGGAGTTGGAGTCTGGTCTGGAAGAGATGGGAGAAGAATGGCTCCGAGGCTAATCTAGGTAATGATGATGATGGAGATGCCCGGAGCAGGCCATACCTCACCGGCAGCCGCCCCTCTCCCTCCCCCGGCGTCGCTGCCTGCGCTACATTTTTTTTTCTTTTTTTTTTTTTCTCACGGCCCCTTCCGTGAGAAAAACCCACCACGTATGATGGAACCATTATGATAATATCCCCGCTCTCGGAAGCCTCGATTGGTCTTGACACGTTATCAACCCGAGAGCTCAGCCACTGCGCGCTAAGCCCTATTTATAACAACCCTTGGCAGGAGCCACCAAAATAAAACCTGGTACTTACGGGCCACCTTTCGTCTGAGAGAATCAGAAAGCTTTACAAGCTTAATTAAGCTCCGGCATCTCTGCGACTGATGAGGTGTGCAGGGCCCGGGACGCCGAGCAAGAGCAGCATCGCTGACTGCGCAGGGATGAGGCTCCGGGCAGCAGGGGCGAGGAATCAACGGGGCCAGCCGGCCTCACCTCCTCTTGTGGCAAGTGTTTGTTGAGTGAATTTCTGCAGCCGGGGTGGAAACAGCCATCGGTGGGGGACGGAGGGGCCGTGGAGAAGCCCTGCCCTGCTGCTCCTCCATCTAGGGAGGGGGCCTGAGAACGGCGTCTCATATCCAAAGCCGATTAAGCTAAGCCCACGGACGCAAGTGCTTTTAAGGCCCAGGAAATTGAGCTCCCGAAAGATACGGTGATCCGCCCACGGCTTGTGGCTGCTGAGCTCCTGGATGGTCCCTGGGCTGAGTGCGCTCCTCCCCCAAAGCCTGACCTGCAAAGCCCCTGCTCGCCCTTCAAGACTCAAGCTCAGCATGTGCCTCCTCCTCCGTGAAGCCTTCCTGGCCTCCCTTGGGAGAGTTTGCTGCTCCCCGGCCTCAGTGCTCCCTGGTGGCCTATGCCTCCATGACGACAGGGCGGGGTGGGGGGGTTGCTTCCTAAATGCTCCCCAGGTGGTTCATCCACACAACCGCGTTCCGAGGCGGGTACGGTCAGCATCTCCACTTTCCTGATGAGTTAACAGGCCCAGCGAGGTTAAGTGACTCTCCCAGGACGGCACAGTCAGCAGGTGCAAGACTCAGCCTGGCTGCACAGACCCGTGTGTGTCCCTGGAGACTCCACCCCGCCCGCCTGCCCAGGAGCACACTCATGAGGGCACAGATCTGCTTCCAGGTGTGCCCCCTCTCCGGTCCATAAGCCCTTCTGTGAGCGGTTCGTCATTTAGGACTCCCTGGCTGCAAACCAAAACCTCACTCCGAGTGTGTCCAACCACCTGGCAAGCCCAGGGGGAAGGGTGGCTTCAGAGTTGATTAATTTGAGGGCCCAGTGACGTTACCAAGGACCCGGGCTCCTGCAGTTTTCTGGCCTGCCACCCTTGATGTGTCCACTTAGCTTCCCTTGCGGTTCTGTGGGGACTGTCCCAATTCCAGCCCTCACATCTGGACCTGAACCGTGGAGAAAAGGTGCCACATCTTTTCAGTGTCTTTTTGCCCTAGAGTGGATTGCTCTTCCAGAAACCTCCCTGGGGACCCCAGGTCTCACTGGCCAACATGGTGTTGTCAGCCTGTGCCTAAACCCCACGTGCGTAAGGGGCCGAAAAGCACCCCGACTGGCTTAGCCCAATCAGGGTCCAGCCTCCCTTCCAGCACAAGGCACAGGAAAGAGGACGAGGAGCTGCCCAAAGAAGGGGAAAGGAGGATGAAAAACAGACGACCAACCGAAGCTCCTGACGCCGCGTTAAAGACGAGAGAAAGGCAGAGGCCTCGGCCCTTACTGCCCAGATCTTGACCTTCCACATCTGAATAAAATACGGCAGTTGAACTGAATCACAGCAGAGAAAGAAAACTCATGTCCCAAAGTGCCCAGCCCAGAATTTTTACCACCACACCCCATAACTCGAGTATGATGCCATGTGACTGAGATTCACGATGGCAACGGCTTTCAGATTTATTAAATTAATTCACCAGTGCTCTAACCTTTAGATTCTAGCTTCTAACACCAGTGGCTATTGGAGCCTTTTCCAAAAGCCGGTCAAAAGAGAGCTCTGTGGAATAAAGAGGTTGGTAAAAATGTTAAAGTCTCGCCATAAATTACAGGTTTATGTCAACCCTGACTTTCTTTCCAGAAACACGGTGAAACACAGTATATTCTTAAAAGTGGGAGTCATTCAGTCAGGCAGACTAGTTGCAAAGGCTATTGCATTTCCTGACCTCCTCCTAGCTATCCAGTAGGATTTACCTGGAATAAAGTGTGTAGATACCTGTCCAGGACAGCCAGGTCTGTGAGGATGGGAGCTGTGCAGGAATTCTGGAGCTCAGGCTTCCTGGCTGGCTGAGTTGGTTAAGAGTCTGCCTTAGGCTCGGGTCATGATCCTGGGGTCCTGGGATCGAGTCCCACATTGGGCTCCCTGCTCAGCGGGGAGCCCGCTTCTCCCTCTCCCTCTGCCCCCTACTCATGCTTGCTCTCTTTCTCTCAATAAATAAAATCTTAAAAAAAAAAAAAGGAATTCTTGAGCTCATGACCTAATAGAGACATACCAAAAAAAAAAAAAAAAAGGAAAATGAATCTCAAAGCAGGAAAAAAAAAGTACTGTAGGGGGTACAAAAAGAGGGGAGGAGAGAGACCCAAATAATAAAAACTATGGCTCAGAGAAGTTCAAAATCTGCCTGGGGTCAGAGCTAAAGATCTCATGCACAGAATCACACAAATATTGTTAACAGTGAACTCTTTTTTTTTTTTTTAATAAAAGAGTGAACTCTTGGGGATCCCTCGGTGGCGCAGCGGTTTGGCACCTGCCTTTGGCCCAGGGCGCGATCCTGGAGACCCAGGATCGAATCCCATGTCAGGCTCCCAGTGCATGGAGCCTGCTTCTCCCTCTGCCTGTGTCTCTGCCTCTCTCTCTCTCTGTGTGTGTGTGTGACTCTAAGCACTTTAAACATAGGGACTACTTTAATCCTCACAATAAACTACAAAGTTTGTCACCATTAATTAGTATTAATCATCAGACATTACGTAATTGATATCATCAGTATCAGTGACACCAATAATTCTACTGTAACTGCATTTTACAAATGGGTACACTGAGGCACAGAGAGGCCAAGTAACGGACTCAGGGTTACACCCCTGGTACGTTTTAAACCCAGACAATTTGGTCTGAGAGTTTGTTCTCTTAACCATTTCCCTTAGTAGCAACCCCAGAGAACATTTCAAAGCAAAATTTAATCTGAGTTGAGTCTACTTTGATTAAATGCAATAATTTTTTATAGCTGACGTTTTCCCAGGTTTTTGTTTTTTTTTTTTTTTTTTTTGTCTTTGTTTTTGTTTTTTTTTTTTTTTTGCAAAGGGCTTGTCCTCCATCATTCTGGAATCTCAGCCCTTCCGTTTACTCGCTGTATGACTTCAGGCTAGTCACTGGCTAAGTAAGCTTCAGTGTTCCCATCTGTAAAGCGGGGACATTCATCACTGTTGGAAACGTTAAAGCAGAGAACGTGTGTGCAAAATAAAGCCGGTAACGCCCTGTGCTAGGCCCATAATAAGCACTCAGTAAGCGTTTGCCACCAGCATTGTAGTGATTATTAATACGTCGCGAGCACTTCCCAACAACCGTGCAAAGTAGGCAAGATTCATTATCCTCATTTCTCAGATGTGGAAACCTAAACTCAAAGAAAGGAAATAACCCGCCAGAAAGGAAACAGCCAGAATGTGAAAATGCCAGACTTGGGAAACCTTCCAACTCCGAGCCTCCTGCCCTGCTCCCAACCCTCAAAGCCACCCCCGCCCTCTTTCCCAGGAGGCACTGTTAAATGAGCCAGATCATTCTTCAAACAGGACTATGGAAAAATTCGAAGCAATTGGAAGTCCAGACTCAGGGAGAAGCCCTGAGGAATATTAAGAAAGTTTTCAAGGTGAAAATAGGTTTCTAGGTAGGGACAGAGGAGCAGCACTTTCCCTCGTGCAGAAGCAACTGCCAGAGGGGGGAAGGGCCAGCGGCTACCCGTTGTGATGAACTGTATCCAGGAGCCACGGTGTGGCTTGGCCGTGACTGGGGGAGGGGAGCGTCCCCAGGCTGGGAGGTGACGGCAAGTGGGAGCACAGGTGAAACAGAGGAGTGCGTTCAATGTTGAAACGCTGTCTAAATAGTACTCAAACACGCCTATAAAATGGCATTCTGCTGGAGGGTTTGGTTTTGGTTTTGTCTTAGTCCTTTGGTTTTCTGGAATTCTGCGTCTCGGCGCACTTGCTCCTGTGAATGCGTCCCACTGTGGTACCTGGGGCATTCAGTCCTGTGGCTGCAGGCAAAGGGCTGCGATGAGGTCAGTCCCTCTTCCAAGAGGTAAGATCCTAGCCAACTTCTTTAAGACCCAGCTTCTTTGTCAATACCTGGACGCGATGGGAAGATCCTGGGATTTGGAGCATCTGGGTTGGAGGCCAGCCCCTCCCAGAATGAAAGTCACATGCTTCCTCCTCCTACATTATGTGGAGGCTTCATCAATATATTTTTTTTTCCTTTTAAAATGAAAGTTCTTGGGGCACCTGGGTGGCTCGGTGGTTGAGCGTCTGCTTTCAGCTCAGGTTGTGGTCCCAGGCTCCTGGGATCGAGTCCCACATCAGGCTCCCCGCAGGGCATGTGCTTCTCCCTCTGCCTATGTCTCGGCCTCTCTCTCTCTCTCTCTCTTATAAATAGACAAATAAAATCTTTAAAAAAAAATAAAATGAAAGTTCTTATTTTGTACCTCTTAGTAGTAAGGAGCTTTTTAAAACCAATACATGCCACCTTCAGAAACTTAATCTCAGTAACTTTCCAATGACTTATTCAGCAAATTGTTACTGAACTAACTAAGCACCAGGCACTGAGCCGGGCAGCCCCGAAACAATAGGTAAGGGGGACTCCTCAGGCAATGACAACGAACTATCCCTTGTAGTTCTTTACAGCTTTTGTTAGCAGCTAAAGAGGCAGAGACACCAACTACTTTGGATTTCCCCATAGTGCCTAGGACGGTCACTGGCTGAATTTAGGTGAAATCATGAATCAACTCGTTAAACACACACACAGACAGTTCTGTAATTAGAGGATATTCCACTCATGCCCACAAGGTGGAGATCTTGCTTACAGTTTACCCAGGCTGAAAGCATTGCAATAAAAAAAAATCCCAGAAGTTAAACCAAAAGATTAAAAAAAAATCAAATTTAATTTATTGAACACCTATTTAGTACAATATACTAACTTACGTGGTAAGAGAAATAAAAGGTTGTTAAGAAATAGTATTCCCTGCCCTCTAGGTAACGTAGGGGTGAGGAGCTTCCACAAAGCGGGAGGACAGTCCCCTTTTAATGCATCACTACGTTTTGATGCCTCCGTATGGGAGTCACAGTCACCGGAGCATCAGATAAGATCTGTAAAAAGGCCTGATAGAGCTGTGTGGTGGGGAACAGATTCAACAAAGACTCCACGCTTCAGCCAATATGGAAACACTTGAGGGAATACGGGGTCAGTGCTGGAAAGCTCCAGATGTGGTCTTTTGATGCTTCCCTTCAGCCACAAACTTTACGGTGTCTGCCCTATGACTCTGAACATTCATTCTTTGGAGAATGAAATATTATCAGTGCCAGCTGATGAGCTAATAAAGCTGAACCCCCCCCCCATGTGCACCTGATGGGGGCTAAAGAGAGAAAGAAGCACACGTGAGAAAACAGATTTCCATGCCTGCTTTCAGGAGGTGGATTCCGCCTCCGCCCCCAACCTTGCATCTTACCTGGGGATCTTGGTTTGGATCTGGGACACCCTCCTGCAGAGCGGGAAGGGGAGGGGGGGGAGGTCAATTCTTATTCAAGAGCCTTCCTGGTGGCTGGAACTCAGAGGTGCTGGAAGACAGTGTGGTTTGTTTTGTCATGGTTTGGGGTTGTTGTTGTTTTTTCTCCTCCTCCCCCCCCTCAACCCCCCACCATTTTTTCCCCCTGAAACCATTAAACCAGCAAGTCAAATGTACTATCAGGATTTCTTTTTCATTTGAACTGAAAATCACATTTGGAAAACAAAGTGAGTGGCTAAATGACAGTAAGTTTTTTAAAAACCGAAAACGCTGGCAACTTGATTTACAAAAAAAGGAAAAAAATAATGAGCTTTCCTGATGGAGGGAAAAATCAGGTGGCACACGGCCAGAAGGCCGGAGTTTGAATTTTAGTTTGTGCACTTGCTAAGTCCAGCATCCCGAGCAAACCTTGTCCGCCTCGGTTTCCTCCTGGGCAGAATCATACTGTTTCTTGGTGAGAGGGAGGCCCAGACAGCGCTGCTGCTGCACCAGGTCCTGCACCAGCGCTGCTCCTGCCCTAGGTCCTGCCCCAGGTCCTGCACCTGGCTTCTGCACCAGCACGGCTCCTGCCCCAGCTCCTGCCCCAGTGCTGCTCCTGCCCCAGGTCCTGTACCTGGCTTCTGCACCAGCACGGCTCCTGCCCCAGCTCCTGCCCCAGTGCTGCTCCTGCCCCAGGTCCTGCACCTGGCTTCTGCACCAGCACGGCTCCTGCCCCAGGTCCTGCCCAGGTCCGCCCAGGTCCCGCCCCAGGTCCCGCACCTGGCTCCTGCACCCTGCCCCAGGTCGGATCCGGGGTTACCACGTTCTCATGGCCGCCTCCTCCTCCCCGTCCCCGTCCCCGTCCGAGCTTGCGTTCCACGAGCGCGGGGACAGCCTGCGGGGGATACTGCCCTGAGACCCGGCTCCGTGGATCGGCCTGGGTGTTGCAGGACTTGCAGGGCGAGGTTTAATCCCCGCCCCCCCGCAACCCCCCACCCACCCCAGTCCCTCCGCAGAGACCGAACCAGCAACCCCGGGGCGCACCCGCCCGCAGTGACCCGCCGTGGTAAGCGCGCCCGCGAGAGGGGTGTCGGCGCGAAGCTGGTGCCACAGGGGGTGCCCCCCGCCCCCGGCCGGGCTGGAGGGCAGGCGGCGGCCCCCCTCAGGCTGGGAGGCCGCGCCGTCCGAGAGCCAGGCGGCGGAGGGACCCGCCCCGGCCCGCGCCGCGGGGTCCGCGCGAACTCCGCAGGCGGCCCCGCGGCCACCCCGACCCCGGCCGGCCCGGGCGCGCGCGGCTCCCGCAGGCCCCGAGGTCCCCGGCCGAGGCGGGGCCGCCTCTCGCGCGCGGAAGGAGCCGTCGCCGCTTTAAGGGGAAGAGGCGGGGAGGGGCGGGGGAGGGGCGGGGGGCGGGAGCGGCGGCCGCGGGGGGGAGGGGGAGGGGCAGGGGAGGGGAGGGGGAGGGGTCCCCTCGCGCCCACGTGGTCCGGGCGCCTGTGAATCGCGCGCGCCCGCCCGAGGGTCTCGCAGCCAAATACAAAAGCGGCTGGGAAGCGGCGGCGGGGCGAGTTCCCAGCGCCGGGCGGAGCGCCGCGGCCGCGATGGAGCCCAGGCGCCCGCAGCCCCGGAGCCGGCACGCCGCCGGGCCCGCCTCGCCGCCGGGACCCGGGCGCCCGGGCGCGGCTTGAAGCGGCGGCGGCCCCCGCGCGGCCCGCGGGGCTCGGGCAGGAGGATGCGCGACGCGGCCGCGCCGCCGCCGCCGCCGCCGCCGCCGCGGGGCTCTGGCTGCTGGCGCTCGGCTCGCTGCTGGCGCTGCGGGGCGGGCTCCCGGGGCCGCGCAGCCCGCCGCCCGCCGACCGGCTCCCGCGGCGCCCGGGGCCCGCGCCTCGGCCCCCCCCGGCCCCGGCCCCGGCGCGGGACGCCCGCGGCGGCTCCCCGAAAACTTTCCGGGCGCTGCTCACCTTGGCGGCGGGCGCGGGCGGCGCGGGCGGCGCGGGCGGCGCGGCGCGGGGGCCCCCGGGCGGGCGCGAGGGGCGCGCGGCGGTGCGCGGGGGCGTCTTCTGGAGCCGCGGCCTGGAGGAGCGGGTGCCCCGCGGCTTCTCGGAGGCGCAGGCGGCCGCGTGGCTGGAGGCGGCGCGCGGCGCCCGGGTGGTGGCCCTGGAGCGCGGCGGCTGCGGGCGCAGCTCCAACCGGCTGGCCCGCTTCGCCGACGGCACCCGCGCCTGCGTGCGCTACGGCGTGAGCCCCGAGCAGATCCAGGGCGAGGCCCTGTCCTTCTACCTGGCGCGCCTGCTGGGCCTCCAGCGCCACGTGCCGCCGCTGGCCCTGGCCCGCGTGGAGGCTCGCGGCGCGCAGTGGGCGCAGGTGCAGGACGAGCTCCGCGCCGCGCACTGGGCGGAGGGCAGCGTGGTGAGCCTGACGCGCTGGCTGCCCAACCTCACGGACGTGGTGGTGCCCGCGCCCTGGCGCTCCGAGGACGGCCGGCTGCGGCCGCTGCGGGCCGCCGGGGGCGAGCTGGCCAACCGCAGCCAGGCGGAGCTGGTGGACCTGGTGCAGTGGACCGACCTGATCCTTTTCGACTACCTGACGGCCAACTTCGACCGGCTGGTCAGCAACCTCTTCAGCCTGCAGTGGGACCCGCGCGTCATGCAGCGCGCCACCAGCAACCTGCACCGCGGCCCCGGCGGGGCGCTGGTCTTTCTGGACAACGAGGCGGGCCTGGTGCACGGCTACCGGGTGGCGGGCATGTGGGACAAGTACAACGAGCCGCTGCTGCAGTCGGTGTGCGTGTTCCGCGAGCGGACGGCGCGGCGCGTGCTGGAGCTGCACCGAGGCCGGGACGCGGCCGCGCGGCTGCTGCGCCTCTACCGGCACCACGAGCCTCGCTTCCCGGAGCTGGCCGCGCTCGCCGACCCCCACGCGCAGCTGCTGCAGCGCCGCCTCGACTTCCTCGCCAAGCACATTTTGCACTGCAAGGCCAAGTACGGCCGCCGCCCCGCGACTTAGCATCCCCCGCCCCCGGCAGCCGCCCCGCACCCCGGGGGAAGAGGGCGAGAGACCCCCCCCCCCACCCCGGGCCGGGGATGCGGGGTGCGCGGAGCGGGAAGGGCCGCCGCCTCGGCCACCGGCCAACGCCCAGCCCGTGGGCCCGGGCCGCCAGGAGGCTGAAACTTCTCCTCGGCCGCACCCACCTGCCCTGCCCCTTGCTCTCCATCTCGCGCCGTCTCCTTTCAAAGTTCGCGGAGGACGGCGTCTCCGGGGCGAGAAGTGGAGCGTTCCCCCGGCCCAGCCTGCAGGAGGACGCTGCCCTGTGGCCGCACCGACTTTGGATCCGGAGACACCCCGCCGCCGCCGCCGCCGCCGCCGCCGGGAGGAGTTTGCACCCCCACCCCCACCCCGCCCCGGGTGGCCGGCCGTCTCGGTGGGAGATGCGTCCCATCCCTTGCCTCTCCCCCACCCGCACCCCCATTCCCTCTCCGGAAAAGGAAAACTTCTGTTGGAGCCCTTGAGCTAATTTGTGCGTTTCCCACCCAACGCAGCGCCGGTGGCCCGGAGCTGGGCTGTGACATCGGCTGGCGCAGCCCCCTTCCTGTGCTCTGCCTTTGTTCCGGCGGCGGCGTGATGGTGAGATCACTGTTAGGGGCTGGGGGAAGGCTCCCGGTAGGACAAAGGGAGCAGGACCTTCAGAACCTGGGGGGGGGGGGGGGGGGGTCGGTCCCGCTGACCCTGACCAGGTGCCTGCCTTGTTCCTAACCACATGCACTTTGGGCCTAAAGCCTCCAGATTGCAGGACCCTCCGTCGGCTCGGAGTCAAGTAGTGGATTTCTCCCTCCCCTCCTCCCCTCCGACCAAAATTTTGACAATGATGATGTTCACCAGAAGCAAATGAGTTTCATGCACTTTACTTTGTTGTTGTTTTTTTTAATTTTAGTTTTTTTTTTAATCAGGAGAAACTTTTTTTTATTTGACAAAATTTGCCTTCTGTGTATATATGTGCATACAGCGTGTTGTAAATATACTAAACAAACTTATATTTCAATAAAAGGGAGTTTAAAATTTAGAGAATTTCATTTCCGTGCTTTTCCCGCTGTGGGAGATCACCGACGCCTCACGCCCCTCCCCGCTTTTCGAATTAGCTTTAGGGTTTCTCCCTTGTGGACGTGCTTTATAAAAACAAAGGATGCATATATACCCCAGTTGTGAGTGCCGGGAAGGTACAGGAATGAACAAAGACGGAGCGGTTTCTCTGCCCTGTTTACTCAAATGAACCTTGGGGCAGGAAATCTCAGAGTTCAGTAGAGAATGTGGGGGAGAGACAGGGAAGGAAAGTATTCTATTTCCTGGCAAATACAACTTTGATATAAAAGGACTTCACTGTACTGTATTCCTGTATTAATCATTTGACAAATATGATAGAACCAGATGTGCAGGCTAAAATATGACAAATGCCCCCCTTTTAAACCTAGCTGGTCACGTGTTGCACGTTTTTTTTCAGCATGGTAATTACCATGCACCACATTATGTACAGATACTAAGCTGAGCACATATTGCAAACAGGTAGAGAAAGTCATAAATTAGTTGTTTCCTTTAATCCCCTGGCATAAAAAAAAAAAGTCTCCTGGCACAAATTCCATCGCATCCAAGAGATCATAATCTCCAACATCTGGACTCGTCCAACCCTCTTAAGAGATTGTCTTGTTTTTTTTTGTTTTTTTTCCCCAGGTACTAACTGCATGGTCCCCCTCAGATCAGCCATGGTGAAACCAAGAAAGTGGGCAGTACTTTGTATGGAACCTTAGAATCCTTACATTTTGGGGACTTCAAACTTAGAGAATACTTTTGGATTGTCTTAAGCTCCTTTCTGACCCCGTGGAAGAAGAGAGGGATTTGGTCTGTGTGTTTTACAAGCCACTGGTGTTTTATCTTGACGTTTTATTTGATATCTGGGTCCAAATGATCTTGCCTATTGTCTTATTTTTAATGACTCTTAAGGCAACTTTCGGTTACTGTAATAGTTATTTATTTGATATGCATTTGTAAGCCTAGGGTTTTATAGACTCCTGAAGATAATTGAATCTCTGTGGGCTCCCCTTCTCACTCCACATTACACACAGCCTGTGTAATTTCACTATTTAATACCATCCTTACGCTGCTGGTGACTTATGCTAAGCCAAAACTTATTTCAACTGAAAAAAAAAAAAAAAAGGAAGTCCATAAACTTTGTGGAATAAGCCAGATTTTTTTCCTTAGTACAGCCACAGAATGTTCTGATATTGTCTTTGTTTTTCAAGACCTTGTTCATATGAGGCCTCTGATCATTACACCCTTCAAAAAGAAACATTTTCCATTTCTGACAATTAATAACTATGTGAGATTTGCTGCCTAAGTCAACCCGAGGCTGCTCCAAAAAAGGATATATAGCAACCTACCTTTTTACCCGGCATGCTCATCGAGGAAAACAATGAGCAGAAATAAGTTTCACAGACCACGCAGGAAATACACCCAGAAGCATCAACACTGGTGAGTTCTGGGCCAGCAGCATTCCCTACATTCCTCTTAAACTACACTTCCAAGCCCAGACTTGACCATTAACCCAGAGCAAGAAACTAAGCATAATTTAAATGGCTCTTCTCAGATTCTTTAGTGAACCGTATCTGCCTGTTGGAGAAATAAGTTTAATTACATGGTGGAGTTGGTAAGGGAACCAAAATTTAATTACAGAGAACAGGATTTAACTGTCGCTATTCCTCGTGGATAATCAGCAGGCTATGGCATGGAAAGATCAATTAAAGATTTGCCATGGTCGGTGAATAGTGCTAGAGCCAAATCATTTTTCAGATGAAGAAAAAAAAAAAAATCCCAAAACTTTCAGACTGCCGCATGATGTGGAAAGAGTAATGGATTCTGCAGGCAAGCTATATTCTGAATTCTGTCCCTCACCTATTTACTTTCAGCAAATCATGTAACTTAGTTCCCTCATCTATGAAATGGAAATTCGATCAGAGTATTGTGGGATTTAATGTTAACCTATAAAACATAAGGGGCACGTAATAGGTACTTAAGGAAAAAAAAAACAACACTTCCCTTCCTCTTCATCTTGAAAAAAGCCTTTTGCCCTCTTACACTCAGTAAACTTCTACCAATTTTCACCGTCAAAGCCAAACCTAGCAGTTTCCAAGGTCAGGTTCAGTTTTCGAAGCGTGGTAATGAATTCGACAAAGTACCGAGGACCATCTTCCGCCACTATGCAAAGCACTGGATAAGGCCAAGGGCACGGGTTTGATCTTTACATGTGCCTGAGAGGGTGGTTTCTGGACCCAGGCAGATGCCTCACACCAAAGCAGCTATCCTACAAATATATGAGGGTAATTTTTTTAGAGGTAAATGGCGGGCAGCCCGGGTGGCTCAGTGGTTTAGCACCGCCTTCGGACCAGGACCTGACCCCGGAGACCTGGGATCGAGTCCCATGTGAGACTACCTGCATGGAACCTGCTTCTCCCAATGCCAATGTCTCTGCCTCTCTCTCTCGCTCTCATGAATAAATAAATAAAATCTTAAAAAAAAAAAAGATTAGAGGTAAATGGCTTGTTGCAGATCCATCATCATTTCTGGAAAGCATCAAAAAGTGATGAATCTTTGTAAGAACAATCCTCCTCCCAGTTCTTTCTGCCAAGAGAAAGTAGGCAGTTGACCTTTTCTCCCTGGATTTGACTATTGATTCATTCCTTTCGTCAGTGACATAGTTCTACACTATTAAGAGTATTCACTGTCCTGTCTTCAAATCAGAAAGAAAAACAAAGTATTTTAACACGTCTTAACTCTTCTCAACCTTCTACCTACAGCTGCACTTAGCAGAGTCCTCTAAGGCCTAAGGGTTCATTATGTGATTAAATGAGTAAATGTTTGTAATATTCTCAGAACAGTGCCCGGCACATAGTAAATGCAATTTAAGTGTGTTTGTTTCTTGGTGAGGGACATCATTTTCTCCTCTAAGTCAAAATCAGAGGCTCTCTGTGTCCTGGGCAGGATCCTTTTTCAGAATCCTGCTTTATCTTTGCAGTCATAGAACACTTTCTACATGCTTCTATTTTGGTTCAGGAAGACCAGCCAGGGTGCATGAGTCTGGCAGGAATTACCCAAAGCCCACAGTTGTCAGCTGGTTGTCTCCTTTCTGAGAATGCCTTCCATGTGAGTGGTCACAGGCACCCCCTCTTTTTCACAGGGAGGCTGTGATTCTGTTTTTCATGTGGCTCTTCAGCTCCAGGCTGCAGTGAGCTGTGGAATTTTGCACCTTCTGAGCTATCCAATAGTCGTGGATTATCCAAGCCCGGGGACAGATTATTTGTCCCTCCACACACCTGCTCCATCTCACTGATGCTGTATGGCATAAAGTTGGCAGAACTAGTAGTGAAGGAGAAAGGGGAGTTCAGTTGATCCAGAAGCACAAGAATTGCTCCAGAAGGGACTAGAAGGCCAGCGGCCACAGAGCAAGAGTTGACACCCCCTTCCAAGCAATCTTCCATCATTAGAGTCAAACATTAAGGATACTGGGAGTCAAGAGAACAGGGCTGCTCCTGACTCACATGTCACTTGAGAAAATCATTTCTCCCTTCTGGCTCCAAGTGTCTTACCTGGAACAGAAAGCGTTTGACTGATGAATCTCCCATTTTTTTGACTGGAACTCACAGTAAGGCACACACTTTACGTTGTGAGCCAGCATGTACACACACACACACACACACACACACACACACACACACAACGGCAATGAAAGTTTTCCCAAAACAGTATGCAAAATGCTTTTAATATTCGAGTGTATCCCATTCCTCCTCTTCCTTTACTTCCCAGTGTCAGCAGTGACCCTCTAAACTGATTTCATAACCCGTCAGTGGGGCACAGTCTGCCCACTGCAAAACACTGAATTAGATGCTGATCCTTTCCAGCTTCGAGATTCCAGAGAAATTCCATTTATAACCAATTTACCACCTACTACAATTTTTCCCCAAAGGGAATACAGACTTTAATTTTGTATACTCTTTAAAAAACAGAAGACTGAAGCGTTTTGTTTCAAAATATAATTGGGAGAACTCAAAATTTTCCCCAAGTTCTGCTTATAAACACTTTTAAGATTCCCTGAATGTGGGAAGTAACTTGCAGTCTGTTCCAACCACATGTGAGCAAATAGTGCTGTTGTAGGGCTTCCGAGGGGGGAAAAAAAATCCTTTGCATATCTGCCTTAACATGGCCCAAGGACGACTCAAGAGGACAGTTTCTTTTCTGTGTATTCATAAAGATCAGATGTAGGAGTCATAATTTTTTAATGTGACTGTTTTACCAATTTCTCTTTCTATGTCCTGCTGTGGGGGAAACTGCATTAATAAACTATGTCTCAATGCTGCCTTGCTGGAATATTTTTTCTCTGCAGGACTCCACCAAATATAGCTAAAGGAATGCTCATTTTATTTATCTTTTCAACTTTCTTTCCATTTAGGATACGTCTTCTTGACACTTTAGAAATTTTTCTCTTAACAGCACCTTAATGTGTTTAAGAGAATAGAGAACTAATTGTTCATTGAGTAATGACGACAACAACAAGAAAGAACTCCTTTTCCCCCCCTTTCTTTGGTGCCATATGGTACCTTTTACGGGTTTCGCAGTTATTTTACACTCTATCCAGAAAAATTAAGTAGCTTATGGAACTGGCATCTTTCCAGTACCAGCTTAGAGCTTTTACTTTGCTGAGAAATTGTGGGTTAATAATAGAGAAATGTCACTTTTAATTTGATGGTCCTACATCATGCATTATCTCTGCCTGCTTACACCCTCCCCTGAATGGTTCTTTTAAACGCTCATAAAAGAATTTGTCCTCAGTCTACAAACAGCCTTTATGGATAAATAAGGTGAATGGGTTATGACCACAGCCATGATCTTTTTTTCTTTTTCTTTTGTGATAAAATATATGTAACACAAAGTTTGCCATTTTAACCATTTTTATTGTGTAATTCAGTGATATCATGTCGTTGATGTTGTACAACCAGACCACTATTACCAGGTCATGT